GAGACCGTGCGAGAGCCGTGCTAACGCCGTGCCGAAATGTGGAATGGTCAGCAAGGCACGCGAGCATGAGCACGGCACGGCGCTGGAACAGGTTTGGCAGACAAACAGATAGAGTCATTATAGTCTCAATTTTCACACCCAAATCTTGTTTATTTCTTTTTCAAAAGCTCTCTTCACGCGTTCAAGAAAGCCTTTATTATCTACTGAGCGGCATCGAAAGTCGCTGGTCAACCATGAAGCAATTCAAAAAAGAAGAGAGAAAAGAATGATTTCGTTGAACCGCGCTATAAGCAACATGATTACGAATGCGGAAATTAGAAGATTTCTGCTTGACAAACGAGATGGTCCACAATTCCTTCTCATTCAAAGGGGTATGAGAGATCTATGAAGTGCGATGGGATGCATGACACATGAACATGCGGATACAACCAGTCATACATTTTTGAAATGTGTTCCTGTATTGTGGAGAGGATTTATGCGCCTCACTTACAAACTTTGGTATCACGGGATGTGGGAAGCACAAGAATCAGAAAATCACGGGAGGACTGTGCAAGTGATTTGTTTATATACTTGAAACTATGAAATGATTTCTGAAATCTAGAAAAAAAATTCTATCAATTTTACGATTATCAATTTTTGGTGTCTTGGTGATTACCATTTTTCCAAAACATTTCAGGCTTATCATTATGCAGTTCCTTCCCTATCTCTCCCTCGCCTTTTTCCTCATTTGAGAGTTTCACTTAGCATTGCTGCTTGTACTCATAATTGCTTATTATTTTCTATCATGATCGGTCTTACTCGTCATCTATCCATTTTTTCAGAAATTCTCTATTAGCTGGAGCATAATCCGATGTGTACAATTCCTGAGCTTGGTTTCGTAAGGCTATTGGGAGGTAGACAGTTGGTCCTGGAAATGCGTGACATCATCAAAGTGCGAATACTGGAGTAGACATTTATGGCGCACCTGCTCCAAGGTCTAAAACCGTCCTTATATTGCGAGGTAGTCTGTAGAGGATGCCTGGTAGGAAGAATAACACTATTTGCATTGCAGTATCTTCAGAAGGTTCCTTGTAGAAGGACTCGAGATATGCACGCGGATCGAACTAAAATATCTCATTGGTTTTCTATGGAGTTCACCGTAAAACATGGGGAGCAAGCAACAGATACTGCATACATGAACAGAAAATAAACTTGGATATCGTTAATCGAACTGAACTTTTTTGCAGATGTGATGCCAATATCTTCTGCCTCCAAAACTATCATGTATTCTCAGTGCGAAACTGTAGTGGTTGGAAGTAAAAGCGGGCAAACAAGTATAGTCATTCTGCAACTAAAAGTTCCTCTCAATCCTTTCACCTGATTTCGCGCTATTGCTAATTTCATTGGTTTCTCGCGTGTAATGATTTGTAAACTCTTTGCCTTTGCCATTTCGTTCGATACTGGGACGAAAATTCGATTTCTGAATCAGTCTTACGTACGTATACGTACCATTGTAGTTGAAATGTGTAAAAATTCTACCAAAAGTGCTTAGTTGACCACTATAAACTGTATACGAAAGATTTGGAATAATTTGGAAAATTAGGAACCGTAAAGAACTTAGTTGTAGTTCTACTTGCAGCCTTTTCCTGTTAGAAAAAGTTAGGTCATGCCAAGCCCAAATTGGAAATTTGAAATATCAAAGCTTTCTGTATTTTTTTTTTCAAAATCTAAAATTTCACAAATTCTGCCACACTCTAGCGGTATTTGTTTCAAGCAGTATTAGGAAATTCATGGTCTCTCACTTGATTATATTACATCAAACGAATTCACTGAAGCTGGAGAAACTGCAGATTCTTCAGAATTTTGGTTCTAATGTTGATGTAAAATTTGGAAGACTGAAAGCCAGTTCTTCTTCTCATCAGACGTGAAGACCCCAAGACCAATTTTTATAGTCCAGCCTATCATCCTGAAAGCTATAATGGATTGAAGAAGCCCCGTAGGTGTCGAAAGGTCAAGAGTTGCCCGTCAGTGCAGCGCTAACTCCGTGCCAGCACCGTGCCAGCGCTATTGAGCTAGGCGCGCAAACGAGCACTTCTGAGCGCAGTCTTAGCAGCCACAAATTTTCGTCTACTCTTCTTTGTATCTGTAACAATATATCATCTGTTCTTACAATGACTGTTGATCT